CAGTAGGTCTCAATATACACAAAGGGAAAAGCAAGATTCTCCGATACAACACAGAATGCACCAATCCAATCACAATTGACGGAGAGGATTTGGAAGATGTAAGAACCTTTACATATCTGGGTAGCATCATTGATGAACAGGGTGGATCTGATGCAGATGTGAAGGCGCGGGTCGGCAAAGCAAAGGCAGAATATTTACAACTGAGGAACATCTGGAACTCAAAGCAACTGTCAACCTACACCAAGGTCAGGATTTTCAATACAAATGTCAAGACAGTTCTACTGTATGGGACGGAAACCTGGAGAACCACGAAAGCCATCATCCAGAAGATACAGGTGTTTATTAACAGTTGTCTACGCAAAATACTTCAGATCCGTTGGCCGGACACTATTAGCAACAACTAACTGTGGGAAAGAATAAACCAGATCCCAGCGGAGGAAGAAATCAGGAAGAAGCGCTGGAAGTGGATAGGACACACATTGAGGAAGGCACCCAACTGCGCCACAAGACAAGCCCTCACATGGAATCCTGAAGGCCAAAGGAAAAGAGGAAGACCAAAGAACACATTACGCCGAGAAATGGAAATAGACATGAGAAAAATGAACAAGAATTGGATGGAACTAGAAAAGAAGGCCCAGGACAGAGTGGGTTGGAGAATGCTGGTCAGCGGCCTATGCTCCATTGGGAGTAACAGGCGTAAGTAAGTTTAACCAAAAGTTTGAGGAACGACTGTGAACACTGGTGTGCAACGAAAGCAAAAGAAACGCAGAAGGCAGCTGTAATACAAAAGGACTTTCCAGACTCGGAAAAAGACGACATTTTAAAGAGCAGATCAGCTGGCCTTCAGCGATTCCACAACTACCCACCAATCCAAGATAGCGTAAATGGAACATTGAAATAGGTCCCCCGACTCTATCTGAAGTTCAAAAGGCTATAGTTAATCTGAAATGAGGAAGAGAAGCTGGTCCAGATGGATTGGCTCCATAGGTTTTTAGGTAATGTGGTCCAATTTCAGCTGAAATCTGGGAGTTGGACGTAATCGCATCTCTGATTGTCCCATCCTGTGTCAAATCGGCCAACAGGCCTCCTAGGCTAAAACCCTAGAATCTCTTACTATTGATGTATCCTGTGTCTCCAAAACACGCGTACAGGATCCTAGTGTTGTCATTCTCTTGACCTCACCTCGGCAAAACGGAGAGCCGACGAGATGCAACCTCCGTGTCTCTGTCGTTCCGATGGCTGGTTCTCGTGAACTGGCAGGTGTAGGCATGGCACTAAGTACGAGGGTAGAACAAGCAGTATTAGAATGGATCCCTGTTAACAGTCGCCTATATGCTGTACGGCTAAATGGCTCCGTATGAACTCGGAAGGATAGGAACACACGTCGTTACCTTTTCGTTTCTTCTGTCCACGACCCTACTGACTGCAACCCAGATGAAGTGAAAGATGACTTTTACAGAAAGCTTTCTGAACGTCTTCATAAAGCTAGACGCTTAGGCATAGCACTTTTAGCAGGTGACCTTAATGCCTAGGTAGGTAGCTTAAACCAAACAGAAAGACATTCAGGTGGGTATTTTAGTATTTCGGCTCAGAGAACAGATAATGATGATTGTCTGCTCCAACTGTACTCAGACAATTCTTTATTTTTAGTCATCACAAATTGTAAGCATATGGAGAGACATCGTCTAACATGGCGACCCCGTGCACCAAACCAACGATGGACTCAAATAGACCATATTGCCATCAGTTCTCGTTAGAGAGGCTCAACAGGAGACTTGCTCGTTCTGGAATACCTGTTTGGACTCCAATCATGCTCTAATACGTGTACGCATTTGCTTGCTCGTCACTGGATTCACAAAAACCACATTAAGAAGACCCATTAGGATTTAATTGAGTGACGAGAAAGCCAAAAGTAGGTTCCAGGAACAACTGAGTTCACACTTAGGCAGTTCTGAAAACGAGGCTCACCTGGTTGTTGCTTGGAAAGTTACAAACAGCAGTGACATCTGTTAATGATTTAAACCAAAGAGTTACAAAAACCAATGGATTTCTTTTAAGTTATTACTGGTAGATTCTCGTAAGCTCATCCCACCAGCCTCTGAACTCGATGAAGAACGAAAACAAACAAAATCTAGATTGACCAAAAGTCTAAGGAACGACTGTGATCAGTGATGGGCAACGAAAACAAAAGTGATGGAAAAGGCAGTGGTTGTAGGTAACACAAGACAGCCCTTCATAGCAATGAAAGAAACTAGAATTAATAACTCAAATGTTAATGATACATGGTTGTGTCTGCATCGACCATATATTCACCATTCGTCAGGTTATAGAACACATACGTGCTTATCAGCGTCCGACAATCGTGGTCTTTCTCAACCTAAAAGCAGCGTTTGACTCTGTAGACCGAGAGGTTCTATGGTATTGTCTGTCATTAAAAGGCGTCAGTCAGTCAGCTATAACGTAGGACCAGGCATATATATGCATCACGCGGACCCCAACCAAATAGTCTGCATCTACCAATATGGCTCAGACTAGAAGTTAGTGTCTTCAAGCACTGATGCCACGTTTTGGTTTGGTCGCCATTAACTTTCTTCCAACCATCCCCAACAATAGTCAGCAGTGCGCTTCGTGATAATCGGTGTTCAGGCATACGTAACACGTGGCCCAACCATCTCAGTCGATGAAGATTCACAATCTCACCAACTGATTTACCGTCATTCCCTAATACCCTACGTCTAACCTCACTATTACTTACCCAGTGATCCCAGCAGACGCCAGCAATATTTCTAAGGCATCTGTGGTCAAATATTAGTAGCTTACGAGTATCCTCTACTCTTAATGGTCACGTTTCGCAGCCGTAAAGCAGAACAGAACGAACTGTTGCGCAGTATACTCGTCCATTATTTGATAGACGGATATCTCGTCTTCGTTATAGGTGACGTGAGTTGGCAAAAGCCAAACGAGCTTTCTGAATCCGTGCAGAGATTTCGTCAGACACCGACCCATTATGGCTGATCAGACTTCCAAGATAAGTGAAGTTGTCAATGCGCTCGACTACTTCACTCCCTATCCTTAGTTCAGGTGTTGACGCAGACCAGTCGTGAAGCAACAACTTGCATTTAGAGGGAGAGAAGCGCATTCCAAACATTCTGGCATTGTTGCTTAGTGCTACCAAAAGACTCTGCATTTTATCAGCGTCTTCACTAAACAGGACTATATCATCTGAGTATTCAGAGTCGATCAGTGAACCTCCTAGAAGGAGATCAATACACGAGAATTCAGTCGACGAGAGCGTTATTTCTATCAGTAGATCTACGGCCAAAGCAAAACATGGTATCAGTGCTTTAAGTCACTAACTTCTATTCTTAGCCATGCTGATAGATGCAGACTACTTGGTTGGGGTCCGCGTGGCTATCGTAACCACTGGTTCGAAACTCTGTGTCACATGGCTCAGAATCGATCACAATGGCGTAGGTGTATGTACTCTCTTTCTTCCCTTAAACCGTGAGATTAAAATTTCTTTATACCTTTCTTTCTACGAACTAATTCTTTCTCCCTGTATCAGATCCTTGTATGAAATGCTTTTTTATATACTACCGTTAAAGTAACTACTTCTATGAGTTTGGTGATCATCTTGTTGTGCTAATGAGGTATGGCAACTTCGACCGATGCATATATGTGCGTGGTCCTACGTTGTAGCTGACTAACTTATTTAGAAAACCCTTTGATGAATAATTAACCATAACATTCCCACCTTATAAGTACTTTTCGTGCTTCTTTGACGATGGTTATTGTAACTCCTTGTGTGTGGTGGGGTACATTTTCTTCATGATCAGTGCAGAATAACGATTCTGCCCAACCTAGTCTTTCCTTTCCAGCTTCTGTTCAATGTGTTTCACTTATTCCAAGCAGAGCGAAGTTGTATCTTCTAATTTCTGCCGCCTTTTGAGTAATCCTCTTGGATTCCTACACAGTCTGAACATTCCATGTAGCTGCATCAATTGTCGCTCTAGTTGTCAGGTGAGGGGGGTTGGGAGAATTTTATTGTCAGTGTGGGATGTGGTTGTTAACTCTATGCCTAGGCCTCTCTCACCCGCGCTTGAAACTAGCTGTAGCCCTAGAAGGAGTTTAACGGGAGTTTAAACTTGACTAAGGCGACTTTTTCAAGTGTCAGCTTAGATTAAAACTTCGGTAATAAAAAGTTCCACTTAACTATGTGTAGATTATTTGATTTCTTTGGGTTTGACAAGTCTTGCTTTGTCATCACATGAATTTCAATTTCGTGATACAGGGCGTGGTGACTCTTAACAAATAAAGTCCAGTGTATATACTCTTGGTGATTAAGAATTGTGAAATTAGTACATATGTCAGCAGTTTTTCAAAATAATTGTTAGTGTTTGTAACGATGTATTGTGGTGAACAAGAACACGAGTGGGGACAATCGGATGTATTTGGGCGTAAAAATGACAGAACGTCTTACTAAAATCTGAGAACAATACAGTAAATAGTTAATTTGCAAAATATCAATCAAATGTCTCAAACCTGACTGTTTCTTTTACAAATATCAGCCCATCGTCTTAGATTTCATTGTTCCTGCATTTTCATACCAATTGCCTTCCGTTCCCGTTCTTTCCTTCTCGATCTTCTACTGAAATACATTCCATTCCTGACTATCTTTATATACTACTTATGTGGATATAAGTATTTCACACCACAGTATATGTTGTATCGTAACGAATAAATGCTAATTCATAGGCAGTTAAAGTGTGACTTTGATGCAAAGAAATTCTATGGTAAATACAATAATCAATTTTCCATTTGATACTTAAGTTGTCAACTTAAGATCGCTCTGAATTTACACATCGATTAGGTATGTAACGGTTATATACGTACAAATACCGCTTCACTTAGTAAATTATTTATATTTCCAATCGTATTATTTGTACTACATTGATTTCCAGTTTATTCTTAACTCATTATCTCTAATTATATTTCTTTAGGCAGAAGTGATGGCTCATGTGAAGTATCTCTCAACTCTTGTTCAACAAAAACACTGAATTATCCCTTATTGTGTTATCATTCCCTCAGGTATATATTTATAACCCCCTATGTTTCAGACTGTGATCTTTCATCCCTTATAGTGTGATATAATCCATGTATTTATAGTAAAATTGCAAATTATTTGCTGGAGGACTTCGTTTTGTTTCGAACAATTCATGTTTTTCTATTTCATCTTACAAAAATAATCGATTCTTCACAGTGAATTAAATTAAAAAATATAACAATTCGGACCAGTTTATTAAATGTCATTTTTATTACTATATCAAAATGATTTTACAAGAACGTTAGGTAGGGTTTTTGTGTTTCATATACTAGATATTAAGCAGTACATAATAAGGTTGCTTTAAAACGCTTACTAACAATATGACAATGGGTCTTAGGTCTAATATTCCATGATACTTTTCCTTATATTTTGTCTGAGATTCTGTTCGCATTTTCCACCAAATGCTATCCTGGTTCGAAAATGTTGTAGTCACAGATTTCGACTACTAAGCCTGGGGATGAAAAACCACTGATCGAAACAAAACGCTGTAAGTACAAACTCGAAGTTCTGATCTGATAAACAGTTTGAAAGCAATTAATGCTCTGGCTAATGATCAGTGGCGTGGTACATTTCAGCTTGGTTGTTATGCGTTGTAAATAAAACTTCAGTATGAGGTTTCTGCTATCAGTAGACTAGAATTGAATACATTTTAGATAAGCGTTTTATGCGACTGCAGGAGAAAACCTAATGATAAACAAGATTTACCACTCAGTCAACAACGTAGAACTTCGTAGGTACGTACATCGGTTCGAATATCCATACCACATTAGCACAGAGTTACAATTGTCACGGTGACAATATTTGTTTGAAATGCAAACATTCCAACCAAACAAATGCGTTCCAGAACGAAAGGTGGATAAATTATGTGGATACGTTAGGAAGATTTCGTGATACATGTTAGGGAAAAGAACAAAACACTAGTGAGCGCATTCATTCGTCAGTATAGATGATTTGAGCAACCATCCATTCTAGTTGATGGAGAAGAAAAGTGGCGAAGCGCTCACATTTAATAGTTGGGAGATCATACTTTCATAAAAACCCACCTGTACTAACAGTTGAAATCCGTTGTGGCCGTTGGAGTTACATCAAATTCACAAAGCATTTTTTATATAAAAATAAATTATCTTATAAAGAATTTCGTCTGTTCAGTGGGTATGAAGAGCATGTCAAAGAATGTTTTTGGATGAAGTTTTTAATTTTATGTCTTGAAGTTCATGTTATTGGTGTTAAACACCTCACTTCCAAACAGTGCTACATTATACTTTTCTGAAGATAGCACGTGTTACTATTGGTTATTAAGGCTATAATTTTTGCTTTTTAGATAAGGTTCGTTATTCTAAAGAGGTTTCCGGAAGTTTTAGAGCTGTATAATGTCCAGTCATCCTATTCAGTCTATGTCGGAAGGCTTGCGAGGACCTAACTTCGAAGGAGCTCTCAGGGATTGTATTTTAGTGCTCTAACATGAATAAAAAAATTTAAATCGGGAGCACAAGCGTGCTAACAAACTAGTTAGTTAATCAGTGTTCTCAATCGTTCATGCTGCGTCCAGACATTTCAAATGTATAATCACTAAAGCTTCTTTAGAACTCACAACACGATACTAACACTAGTGAAATGACTCATTTTCTATAGAATCTGAAAGTTTTTAAGCCAAATATACTTGATTTACTCTTAGCCTGGATTACTGTATAAAGTTTATCGAGGCCGAACCAAGTAACTCCAGAACATGGTGATCAAATGTGATTTGTTTCAATCACTAGGTCAATTCGCAGTTATCTCATTCTATATGGAAAATTGTTGAAGAGCAGGGATAGGGTTTCCTTTGCGAGACTTTCTTTGATTGGGGTGAATAATCATATCACTTCGTAGCTTCTGGTTTGAATCTCATTAACTTTATCCAGGGATTGGGCCTGCCGTAGAACCGAGGGAGTACTTGCCCGTTGGATTTCATCATCCATCTGATATTTGTCCTGCTTCGACAAGCTTGTCTCAAGTCCTTGAAATTTGGTTGTATAACCTTTTGATTGGATGTGTCCATCGGTTTGTATACGCTTTTGTCTTTAATTAGTTCCTCCGTTTTCCTGATGTATTCTACCTTGTCCAAAGTTACTTTAGTTCATTCGTTGTCCACTGGAACTATGACAATATTTTCTCCAGTTCCGACTTTCTTTAAGGCTCTTTGTTCTCGTGAGGTCAGTTAGGTGTCGTCTTTCTTCCGGTGAGTTAGCGGTACTACGGTTTGTCTTATTTCCTCTTGAGTTTCTTCGTTCATTCCGGCATTTTTGATTGATACCTCTGATGCAGCTAATAAGTAGATTGGTTGAAGTTAGACATTGACACCGTTGGATGCCGGCTCAGTGGTTAAGTGCTCGCGCGCGGAACAAGTAGGTCCTGGGTTCGAATCCCGCGAGGTGCGGGGTCGTGGGTGCGCACTACTGGGAGTCCCGTACTGGGACGAAACGGCCGTCCAGTGCTTCCAGGTTTTCCATGGGGATCTAGCTTCAATTGACTCATGATTTCAACTTGTGTAATAAGTTTAGTTTTGGAGCGTAATTTGTATTGTAGTTTTATCCTTTCGGAGCAGGCGTTCTATGTTTGTCAGAGGTTGCTTTGACGGGTTGACCAGGCAGTTTTTTTATATTTTATTCCATAGGTGGTTTTGGAATCTTGATTAATTATTTCGTAAGGGTGTTTCTTCTGTGTTGTGGATCGCTGTTGTCAAGATTACCAATTTTTTTAATGTGAGTATCCTCTCTAGCTTTATCTTTTGGTCATCCATGAAGTGTTAATATTTGTTGATCCTGTAGTTCGCGTCAGCAATCATTAGGTGTACGAAAATCAATCCTGTGTAAACGAATGGACGAAATAACAAAAGGGGAAAATCCCAAAAATCATCTATAGAATAGATTGTTTCAACTGCGAAGAACACTAATCGGAAAAAGTGGGCGTCTCCTTTATTTTCGTATAGGCGAACACCAATTAGCGGTCAAACGCCATGTGGATACACACTCGACCGGGAAAATGTTAAGGGGATTCTAAATGCACCAGGGGATTTTTAGAAGTTTGGTACTCGAGTCAATCAACGAACAAACTGAAACCGATCAAATCTACCAACCAGTCGGAAAAATCATGGTCAAATATAAGACCAAGAATCAAATTAATGTGGAGTACAGTCAAAATAAAGAATTAGATAGTGACAGGATAAATGTCAGCAGTAACCAATCAAGACCGAGGTCAACAGGACAAGCTATGAGCCATTTATGGAGGAATTCGAATACTTACTTCCTACCTGAAGTTTGTACTGACGGTGTTGTTCAGAGAAGTGAAAGCTCCACAACCAAAGCATCCAACTCAAAGAAGAAAACTTTACCCAAATCATCACCCCGAGCTAAATATCACCACCATCTAAATATGAAATTCTAATGATCCGCTCTAAACGTTAATCGCCATGTGAGGTTTTCAGACTTTTGGGATTCTGCATTATTTGTAAAACCAACAGTCAGTGGTCATCACTCTTGCAACTAAGGCAACATATCTGATCTTCAAATAAGTATACAATAGGGGAACAGTTTTGCATTCCGTAGACTCATGTGTCCCGTATAATTTGGTGTGGAACCATATTATCTTCCCCCTGCTTCCTTTATACATCATATTCCAACCAAGCCAAAAGACTTTTCCTTCATTCCCACATATATATTTCTCGGTTAGTATTAGAAATAATTTTGGACTTCGGCCAAGCTAAGACTTTGTGCTCGATGGCTTAGGGATTAACTTGGAATCACGTCTGTAAATAATTACTTCCTACACAGGTTTTGGAGAATTGCTTGTCACCAGTTCATCTCAATTTGTTTGTTGAATCTTCCTATTGATGGTCAGTATGGGCCCACAATGTTTACGGATCTAAGAACAAAAACGACTGAGCTGCTCTAATACTATTGGTTCCCTTTCAAATCGGGAAAGGCCAAATGAACACTACATCGAAACCTCAACAGCTACAAGGGAAGGAAATGGATTACAAGGAACTTGATACTCAGGGTATAACAAGCAACACAAAACAAATTGACACAACTTGTTATTGTAGTAGCAAGATATAACCTTCAAGCATAAATAAATTTAGTGAGGAAACAATGACAATGGTCATGCATGAAGTCGAGTCAGAAAAGAATGCACAAGCGGTTATCGTTCTTGAGGAAACTTGAGCAATTCCTTAGCACCTCTCAATTTTTACTAATGCAGGCTTTCAGTTTATATACGTACCAAATACTGTACCCACTTTGATTGTTTGATACTAATTATCGACAGTTCTAAATTACTTTATTACATAAAGCTATCTTTCCGTGTAATATATTTGTTAAAATTTATACAACGTGCTCCTTTTTGTTCTATTTTGCCTTCAGACATGAACTGACATACATAATACATCTCTACTACGATCCTCATGCCATTCTCATCTCTTGTTTTTGATTCATTCACTAATCCTCACGATGCATTCACTTTTGTGTTAAACACAGGTTTTGATTTCTAGACTATCTTGATCCCTCGGCATTGATTTTTTTCACCCATTTCTATTTCCAACATTTTGTTCAAACCATCTGTTATGTCACTTTCTTATCGCGCCGCAAAATAAAATGAAGGCTCCTGCTTCTAGACGTCCAGACAAACGTAGGAAGACGACAAAATCTAACACTACTACTGACACGATTTTTGACAGTTTCAACGAGACGAGCTACTCCGTTCATCCGGAAGCAGACTGATATGATGGAAAGAAAAATCAATTTTCGATTGATTTACTCACTGAGTTTTATTCAACATTACATCCATTCTAATTCAATGTGATGACCATTCACTGTAGTAATTGTTTTCTTTTGTCGTATGATATTTTATTCTGTACGATAAGCGATATTCTTGTATTCCATTGACACGAACTATAATCAGTATGTGATTTGTTATAAC